GGCTGTTTTATAAACTATGCAATAACAGTGAAGAATATGAGTGCCTTGCCCTATATATGATAGTAAGATAAACTTTTTTTTTTTTTTTTGATAGTAAGATAAACTTTCTAAGGTAAATGTTAAAAAGGATTTTGTTCATTATTCTGTGTGTATGCATATAAGGCACAGCTCAATTAATTTATACACACACCCCTACATAACTGCCACCTTGATCTACTTATAAGAGTGTCATCCAGTAGAGTGTCATCCAATTTGGGAAATGTAAGATAAACTTATTTTTAAGTAGTATGATAGTTGTGTTTTTAAAATAATGTACCCAATATGTTTTCATATTTACAGTCAGTACAGTCCACACCATCCAGAATGGTGGAAAAATAGTATGTTTATTTGATTTTATGGTTTCACATTAACAATTGGACCCACTGCTTTAAATTTAGAAGTATTTTACCTGAAAAGATGTGTTGAAGTTGAAGGAAAAAAATATTAAGGGTATTATATGAAAATATAACTAAGATAAGTTTATCTTATTCCCCAACTTTATGGACACCATGTATGATATTTCCAGTACCCATAAAAGCTTCCTTATACCCATTTCTGGTTAATATTCTACCAGAGGTAACCACTATTCTGATTTGTATCATCATAGAGTTGTTTTGCCTGTTCTTGAGCCTTCATATAAATGGATTTATCTTATAGAAAGAATACTGAGCTGAAGAATGTAGAAATAAGCATACATACTGTGTAATTCTGTTTGTATAATATAAGAATACATACATATGAAATTACACAATATGTAATCTTGTTGCAGGCCTTAGGTGGTGCAAACAGTTTGTACTCCACTACTTAATCTAAAAGTTGGTGTGGTATAGTAAATGACATAGTACAGCTTTCCTAGCCAGAAGTCTTTGTAAACTCTATGGTGGAATTTGCCATGTGCAACTGAGTAGCTCCTGATTGTTATCCTCCTGGGGTATTTCTTTTGGGAGCAGCACAGAGCAATCTTCTGGGAAGTTCTCTCTCTCAGGTGTATAGAATTCTGATGTTAGGATTGGTCAGTTTAGCCACTCTGCCAGGCTCAAAAGGAGCCCTCCTAGAGGCAGAAGGAGTCTCTTACTGCCAGCTGGGAGATGTGAGAAACATGCATTGCTGAGAGAGAGACACGAGAGACATGCGCTGCTGGGAGAGAGACGCCGAGAGACATGCGCTGCTGAGAGAAAGACTGAGAGAGACTGTCCGCTGAGAGACGGTGGACTGAGAGAGACTGAACGTGTTCCTGAACTAAAATTGTAGCCTAATAAACCCAGTAATCTGTGAGTTCTATGTGTCTGCTGCAGCGAATTATCAAACCCAGCAGAGAGGTGGTGGGTGCTACGGAAGGAATGGTTGGTGTCAGGGTTGGTGAAAGGGCTGGAGGAGGGCAGCATGTCTGGCCTCACAGGAATAGGCCCCGGGCTACTGATGGTGATTTTGTCTTCCTCTTGTGGGGTTAGAGGAGGTCAGAAGATGAAGCCTTCTTGCCTCCTTGGCAGTTGGCCATTCAGACTCACCACGTGTACCCTTGCAGAAAGTCCTGGTGATCTGCTTCCTTAAAGATTATAGATAAAAGCCTAAGAAAACCCTGTGGAGCAGTTCTGCTCTGTAACACATGGGGTTGCCATGAGTTGAAATTGACTCGATGGCCACAAGCTTGGGTTTTTTTATTTGTTTTGTTTTATTCTTATTTCTACATTCTTTGGCTTATTGTTCTTTCTATAAGATTAATTCATGCTTTGAGTATAGCAGTCGTTCTTACTGTTGTGTAGTCATCTGTTATGTGTCTATAAACAATTTATTCTGTTGATTGTCATTTACATTGTTTTAAAGTTTTGTCTATTATGAATAAAGCTACTATGAACATTCCTATACTTATTTCTCATGGATATATATCTAGAAGTAGAATTGTTGGGTCATGTGTTAGATATATGTTTCACTTTTATAAATACTACTAAGAAGTTTTCCAAAGTGGTTATACCAGTTTACAGTTTCATCAACAGGTGTGAAAGTTCTACTTGCTCCATATCCTCAGCAGCACTTGATACTGTTAGAATATAATATTTATTCAGTGAAAACTGAAAATTTAACAAATGATATTACATCTTTAGGTATATTTGAAATTTTACAATAGGTATTAAGCTGCAAAAAGTAACATTATAGTGACATGAATGGTAGTATTTATTAACAAGCATACATTGTTTAAAAAGAAACATCACTTACTGAGAATTTTAGTTTGCATCTACAATGGGCCTAAACATATATTGATTTGAAAATACATTGCTCTCATATTGTATTATTTATCTATTACTGTGTAGCAAATTATTCTAAAACTTAGCAATTTTATTTATTTACTTATTTTAAGTCAATCATAGGTATTCTTTTTTTTTTTTTTTTAATTCTGATTGGGGTGAAAATTTACAGAGCAAATTCACTTTCCATACAGCAGTTCACATACACTTTGTCTCATGACATTGACTATAGTTTACCACAATGCAACAGCTCCCCTCCCGCTTCCTCCCATCCCTCCATGCACTCCTGCCCCCTGAGTTGTCTCCCTGTGCATAAACAGCCCTTCTTTCTCCCATGATTGTTCTCTCCAAGGAGTGTATCTACCTCAGGTAAATGTTCAACTCATATGCCTGTCTTTTGTAAAACTTAGCAATTTTAAATAATAATCATTTGTTACCTCTTACTATTTCTGAGGGTCAGGAATCTGGGAGCAGTTTACCTGGGTTGTTCTGATTTAGAGTCTCTTACAAGGTTGCAGTAAAGCTATCATGTGGATCTGCAGGCTTCTTAAGTCTCAGCTAGGGCTGGAGAGTCTGTAGGGTCATTCATATGTGTGTGTTGTGGGGCAGTTGGAGGTGGGGGGACGAAAATACACATAAAATTTACCATTTTAAAGTGGATGATCCCCTTACATTTAGTACATTCACAATATTGTGTAGTCCATCAGCACTATTTAGTTCTAAAACATTTTCATCACCCTATAGGAAACCTCTATGCAGTCCATCACCATTATCCCCACTTAAGCCCCCGTAACCACTAGTCTACTTTCTGTTTCTATCAGCCCTCCTATTCTGGATATTTCATATAAGTGGAGTTATATAGTATGTGGCCTTTTGTGTCTGGTTTACTTCTCTGGCTTGTTTCACTTAGCATATTTTTAAGATTCTTTCCTGTTGTAGTATGTATTAGTATTAGTACTTCATTCCTTTTTATGTCTTAATAGGATGTAGTTGTTTTTAGTATTATTAAAATCCTACAGTTCCTTATTGCTCTTCTGTCAAGTTTTATCCATTATCCAAAGTGGGATATTGAGGTCCCCCACTATTATTGTAGGACTCTTTTTCCTTTAATTTGGTCTATGTTTGTTTCATGTATTTAGGGGCTCTGATATTTGGTGCATCTATGTTTCTAATTGTCTATCTTCTTGATTGGTTGACCTTTTATGATACATATTGTTCTTTTTGGCCCCATGTAACACTTCTTTACTTAAAGTCTATTTTGTGGGAATTGGCAGAGCTACCCCTATTTGTCTTTGGCTCTAAAGTGAGTCTCTGGTACATATCTGGTCTCTTTAAGCCAATAAAACTGTGTCCCTCCTAACAGCTCTATACTTGCTTGAGTCTTTAAAAAGTTTCTAGTGAGATTTACTCTTCTGAAAACTAAAGTTTATAGTTGATTTCAGCTCCACTTTCATTTAGAGTAGTGGTAAAATTTCTGTGCCTCTGTATCATTCAATGCAGGTAGTCCCTGCGAATGTCCTACTTAATGTACAACCCATAGTTCTGAACCACCTCCCATAGATACTATTATAGTCAAATGTCAAGACACATACAGTGGTTCATAATAACACAGGTGCTACTTACTTTGCATCAAAACATTATCATTATTGTATCATTATGCTAAAGATATTTTAGTGTATTTGTTTCTTTAATGTTTTTTTATGTGTAGGAAGGTACACTATATACTAAGACAAACATTTGACTAACTGCCATTAGATACAAATCATACCTAATTGCTCTAACATATAAAGTCAATTTAAAGACAGACTTAGGAATGAAACTCATTCATAATCCAGGGACTGCTTATATGCAGTTCTCTTAGAGAGTAGCCGTGAACATTTATAACAAAGATCGGAAGAAAGTAAAATGTATGAGGAGTCTAGAGAACATCAAGAAAGTAAGGAAAGAGAAGCTAATATTACTGATGAGCTATTCCAGAATTGTTTTTCCCCAGAAATTCATCAAGGTGTATCTTCTATACAATGTATAATTGTATACTCTAACTTCAAATACGTTTTACTTTTCTAAGAATAAGATATGAGCTTTTTTTTTCCCCCCCAAATGTGATGCTATTTCTTAGGATGTTAAACACAGTAGTAGGTTTCACACAGAATGAATATTAGGCTTTCCTTTTTTGTTGTTATATGCCGTCAAGTCGGACTCGACTCATAGCGATCCCTCCTTGGGTTTCCGAGGCAGTATCACTACGGAAGTAGATTGTCCCATCTTCTTCCGAGGAGTGGCTGGTGGGTTTGAACCGCCAGCCTTCTGCTTAGGAGTCAAGTGCCTTAGGCACTATGCTACCAGAGCTCCTAGGCTTTCCTTTAGGGGTACACAATCTTAAAATTACTCATAATAGAACTCTTGTTTTCTATCATCTTATGCTATAGCCTTTTGTTTTACTCTCTAGTTTTAATGTTGTCATAGTCTTTTTATTTACCTAGATAAATTTAATAAGACATTTGTTTTAATAGATTACAAAACATTTTAAGAAAGACTAATCTAAGGTGAATAGTCCTAACATTTTCTGTCCAGATATTATCTACATGTCTTTTATGACTTGCTATTAATTTAAAAAAAAAAAGAACTAAAATATACTCTTTGGTGATTTCTTTGCAGCCTCTTGTATGGAAAATTTGAAATGCAGAGGAAAAACAATAGCTAAGGAGATCAGTGAAGCCATGAAGGTAAAAGCTACACTCTGAAAAATTATAAAATGAATAACATGTATGATTTAAGTATTTGCTTTCAAAATCCACATATGTATTAACCTACTGAAACAGGAATTCTCAGTAGTCTTTAAATAGATCTTTAATGAATGTATTAAATGACAATAATGTTCAGAATAATTACCATTTATCAGGTACCTACTATGTGTCAGGTGTTATACCTGGTTTCATTAAAGATTGGCTATATTTTGGGGTTCTGAGTATTAGCAGCCTATCAGGCAGCTTTTGCTAATAATAATAGCTGACATTTATTGAGCACTTAGTGTGGGTCAAATTTTGTGGCTGCTAACCAGAAGGTTAGTGGTTTGAACCCATCAGCCGCTCCACGGGAGGAAGATGAGACAGTCTGCTTTTGTAAACATTACAGCTGTGGAAACCCTGTGTCTAGTTGTCCTCTGTCCTGTAGTGTCACTGTGAGTTGGAATCAACTTGACAGCAGTGGGTTTGGTTTAGTTTTTGGTAGTGTGGTCAGCTACCTTCTAACTTCTTTACATGTATTATCTCATTTAATCCTAACAGTAACCCTGTGAGATATATATTGCTATTTCTCCACTTCATAGATGAGGAAACAAGCAGGGTGAGGCTAAGTTTATTTCCCAAATAAGTAGCTGAGTCAGGATTTGAAACCTGGAAGTCTGGCTCCAGAACCTGTACTCTTAACCACTATACTATGTTTATTATTACTATAATAAACTTGTTTATATCCTTGAAGTTTATTTTATCCTAAACAGGAAAACATTTGGATTTCTAGTAGGTGGAAATTATTTTTAAACTTCAGAATCTTCCCTGTTCTGATGGTAATTCTTTTGTGGTTTGTATTGATCCCACATAATTCTGGTGGTCATGCTTTTCTCTTAGCATGTTCTTTATCAGGGATCTTGGCATGTTCTTTATCAGGGACTGCCAAACTGGTAAGCCAGGCTACATCCAGACCAATGCCCATTTTATAAATAAAGTTCTACTGGAACACAATCATGTCCATTTATTCATTTATTGTCTATGGCTGCTTTTGTGCTACAGTGGCAGAGTAGTTATGACAGAAACATGTGGCCTGAAGAGTTGAAAATAATTACTCTCTGACCCTTTATAGGAAGAATGATCCTTGTTCTTAATGATTGTTGTTGTTGTTGTTAAGTGCCGTCGAGTCAGCCCTGACTCATAGCGACCCCTCCTTGTGTTTCCGAGGCAGTATCACTACGGAAGTAGGATTGCCCAACCTTCCTTCCGAGGAGTGGCAGGTGGGTTTGAACTGCCAGCCTTCTGGTTAGCAGTCAGATGCCTTAGGCACTACACCACCAGAGTTCCCCATTATCCTAAAAATGGTATATAAAAGTTTATTTAGATATTAAATTCTTAGCTCTGAATTTCTGTTGCCTCTTGCTCTGCTAAGTTTTGTTTTACTACAGCTGTTATAGAAATAGAAAATACCTCTTAGTCTTGGTTTACCATTAAAATTTCTCTCCTAAAACTGGTATTTTGAAGGTAAACTTGCATATCCGTGAACTCAAAAAAGCCTTGACTCAAAGAATTAAAATTATAGAGTGTTGTATTTGTCTCTTTGTGTTTGTGTGTTTGAACCTGAGATTAACTTGGAGTATTACTCCTTTTTTTTTTTCCCCAAAAAGTCTTTGCCTGCATTAATTGAACAAGCAGATGGATTTTCTCAAGTTTTAAAGATGCAACCTGTTATTCAGCTCCAGAGGGTCCACCAAGAAGTCTTTTCCAGTTGTAATAGGAAACCAGATGTTAAACCCGAGAGTTTCCTAACACAAATAGAAACCACACCAACAGAGACTGCTGCCAGGAAAGCCACTAACATAGTGCTGAAAAGAAAGAGGACCAAAGACTGCCCTCAGAGAAAATGGTATCCGTTGAGACCAAAGAGAATTAATCTTGATACTTAGACTCCTTTTGTTTATTTTGGGAGTTGAAAATAGATGCTATGAAATAGATTACAGCCTAGACAGGACTTTATTTAAGACAACAAATAACTCTGTAGTGATTCATTTATACAAATGTAGTAGTCTATGCTGGGATATGATATAAGGTATTTCTTTCTTTACCATTTCATCTACAGTAGATGAAAAGCATATTTTTTTAGTATTGCCTCAAAGCCCATCATTGAGCATTCAAAATGCAGACTTTCACTGTCTTTAAATGCCATCAACTCTTGGCTGCCTTGCAGCTTTTATGTAATTTCACGAGTGATGTATTCTGTTAGGTTTCCCTGATATACATCTTTCAAAAAAAGAGCTATGTAATAGTTATCTTTATTTAACATGCTGAAAAACAATGATCACTTCTGTACAGCATCAGGTGGTTTTTTTTTTTTTAAGACAGAATTTGACTTGCCAAATTAGTGTGCACATAAAGAGCACACCATTATTTGTGCAGGGATTACTCTTATGAATTAAAATTGACATGTAGCTAGTGTTTGATGGCCACGCTTTTGTTTTCCAAAGACCTTTTCATTTTTAAACATAATTTGACTTGGGACTGATAGTTTCTTTGGAGGATTTATTGTTACTACTTTATAGATAATTCTAGTTCTGAACTATTTATCAGATTAACACATTGGCAAAGTTGTCATTGTGGGATAAATACATGCAATCATATTGACCTAGTCTACATTCAAAGATGTTTATATATCAAGTATATAATCATTGGTAGAAATCTGAGAAAGCTTTGTCACCTATACTTCTAACATTTAACTGTAGTTTATTAGAGCTCATATTGTGTGTTGTACTTACATTATATAACATAGGGGAGACCATCCAACTTATCAACTGTTTCCCCTTTTGATAACTGTAATACTGTCATCCTTTTCCAAAGGCATTAACTAATCATGAGGCTGGAAAATCTGCATTTCTTTTGCTCACTATGTCTTCCTAATCATAAATATTTAAATTTGATAGAAGGTCTGTTCAATGAAGAAAACATATAAAGCTTCTTCATTGCACTCTATGTCTTTGTGTTACATTGGAGATCTGTATATTTGTACATAGCAGTGTGTCATTTATTAAAATAATGTACAAAGACATCTTGATGCTGTGTATTTTTTTTACTGTGATTTGGATGAAAATTTACAGAGCAAATTCACTTTCCATACAGCAGTTCACATACATTTTGTCTCATGACATTGACCACAGTTCACCACAGTGTAACAGCTCCCCTCCCACTTCCTCCTGACAGTCACCTCTTCCCTGTGTCCATGCCTCCATGTACCCCTGCCCCCTGAGCTGTCTCCCAGTGCATAAACAGCCCTTCTTTCTCCCATGATTGTTCTTTCCAAGGAGTGTATTTACCTCAGGTAAATGTTCAACTCCTATGCCTTTCTTTTGCTTGGCTGGGAAGCCACAGGTGTAGGTTGAATTCTAGACCTGAAGGACAGTTAGGGGCCATAGTCTCAGTGGTTCCACCAGGCTCTATCAGACCAGAAAACCTGGTGGGTCCCCCCCCCCCCGTTTCTTTTTTCCAAATGATTTTGAGTTTTGTTACACATTGTTCTCCCTCTCTATCCAGGGTCTCCTACATAGATCCCCCTCCGAGTGGTTGACAGTGGTAGCCAGGCACCATCTAGTTCTGGTCTCATAGTCATATAGGCTGTGGATCGCATGGTGTACCAGTCACTAGAACTAATTCTTTTCATGAATCTTTGGTTTTCTTCATTCTTCTTTGCACTGGATGAGGAGAGACCCATCATTGTGTTTAAATGGCTGTTTACAGGCTTTTAAGATCCCAGTCACTACTTGCCAAAGTAGGAAGTAGAGCAATGTTTTGTGTAGTATGTTATGCTAATTGAGCTTGATATCCCCTGTGACTATGGTCTCAAGTCCACAGGTTCAACTACTCAGTCCCTCTGGTTAGCTGGCTGTGCCAAGAAGTGACTACAAACTTGTCCCTTGTCAGCTCTACTATACACCTGGGAATTCAGATCATACAAATACACTTATAGGACCATTGTCTGCCAACCCTGTACATGGTCTTGGGTACATTCCCCACTGATACTGTGTATTTTTAAGGGTTGTCTTAGGTATTCTTTTTTAAAAAACTTTTATTGTGATGTGGATGAAAGTTTACAGAGCAAATCCATTTTCCATACAGCAGTTCACATATGCTTTGTCTCATGACATTGACTGTAATTTCTCACAGTGCATTAACTCTCTTCCCACTTCCTCCCTGTAGTTACCTCTTTCCCGTGTCCTTCCCTTCCATGCACTCCTGCCCCTGAGCTGTCTCCCTGTACGTACACAGCCCTTCTGTTCTCCCATGATCAAGCTCTCCAACAAGTGTATCTACCTAATGTAAATGTTCAGCTTATATATGCCTGTCTTTTATTTGGCTGGAAGCCACAGGAGTGGGTTCAATTCCAGACCTGAAGGGCAACTAGGGACCATAGCCAGGCTCTATGTCCACCAGGCTCTATCGGACCAGCAAATCTGATCTGTTTTAGGTATTCCTGACTGAACTTTTAATGTTTGGTAGGTCAGTACCTGCATTTCAGAACATACTAAAATTTCACTTCAAAACTGTTTTGAGGCTGCAGAGCGTTGTTGTTCCAGTACAGTGCTAACTTTTTCATAGCATTAAAATCCCATATGATTTTGTTTCACCTCAGAATCCCCCAAACAAAAGAATTATTTTATTAGATTTGATAAGCTAACATATAAGAAAGTATCCCTTCTCTTTTAAGCAATGCATACTTGGATATATAGTTTAATGCCATGATGTCTAGAATTTGTTCTGAAATGTCAGCAAAAAAGAAGGAAATGGAATAGATTTATAATCAAATATGCCAAAAATCTTGATAATGTTAAATCTGGGCGATGGCTATATTCTTCTGATTTTTGTGTCTGTTTGTAAATTTTATAATTTTTTAAAGGGTTTGCTGTTTTATTGTAAAGCCCCAAACAGCTGAGACTTGAAACCCCTGTGAGAGCCCAAGATTCCCACTCAACAGTTAGAGCAGAGTTTAAAATAGAAACACCAATGGGAAGCACATAAACATGACTGATACCAGTGATGATACTAGGCAAGTATGCACTATAAGAGGAGAAATTGTATTTCTGCATAGGCGAAAGAACTAGCTAGCTAAGAGAATGAAAACTAAAGAAGTCTATAGTTACAGATGATTGAAAAGGTTGAAGGAACAAATAGAAAATAAATTTGGCTTCCTTATGGTTAAAAAGGGAGCTCTAGCAGCACTTGACTGCTAACCAGAAGGCTGGCAGTTCAAACCCACCAGCCACTCCTCAGAAGGAAGGTTAGGCAATCTACTTCCGTAGTGATACCGCCTTGGAAACCCAAGGAGGGCTCACTATGAGTTGAGTCTGACTCAACAGCACATAACAACCACAACATGGTTAAAAAAGAAAAAAAAAGTCTAGATTTCATGGGGTCTTAAAATTCCCTTTGAACAACAACAACAAAAAAAAAAAACAAGCAAACACAGTGGGGTCAAATCCAGTCCCAGAGAAGAAGGAACCTGGTCAAAACAGCTGGTTTCTGATCAGTGGAGGAAAATGTGTTTTCTAAACTTCAGCCATTAGTAATCTACCATCATAATTTTTACCATGTTTGATACCATTTGAACTCTTTTTTCTTAGTTTTTTGTGTTATTCCCATCCTTCCCTATGTCATCCACATTGGATTTGTTGTAACAATACAGAAATGTAAAAAATAGAATGGGCCTTGAAAGTAACTGCTTGAACAATTTAAAATCCCACAAAGGATCATTGAAAGTTCATTAACAATTAGTTACTAGGTACTATGTGTGTACATTCACATCTTTTAAATTTAGGGATATGAAAGCAAGCTACATGAACAAGGTCTGCCCACAAATTTCATCTTTAGGAGGGATTCCCGTTGTAAAACCAAATATAAATTGATGGCTAGATTTCCTTCCTTGTTGACACAATTTCTTACTAACTTGTCCTTGCTTAAGAGGTTATTTCCAAAGTAATTCCTATTCACATTAAGGCTTTTCTGTAAGCACTTAAATAATATTCCAAAATTGCACTAGTTCCTTCGGAGTCTTTCTTAAGCTGAAAAATTTAAATGAAATTTTGTTATATGTAAGAGGTTTTACTGGGTATTTTTTTATGTTTAACAGAAAAACACTCACAGTTTGATATAGTCTGTATCTTTACCTGGGAAGCTCAAAATCCAGCAGCAGTAGTAAGCGACAGACAGATTCAAGTATATTTTTTGTTGGCACTATGCTTGGAGCAAAGTCATCAAGATTTTCTCAGTGTGTCTTTAATTTGTGTGTTTATGATGATGATGAATTAAGACTTCTCATAACCATTCTTACCCAGACTTTATCAAATCTGTGAGTGAATGAAAATTTAGTTAGTAACTCTGGTAAGGAAATATAAGTACATGGGTTTTAGACTCAAAACAGAAAACTAGAGGACAAACAGGTAAAAGATTATGTTGACACATTAAGAACATGGAAACGTGTGGGGTCTTCATTAAACCTAGAATTTGCATCTCTAGAATGTAGTTGAATAAAACATTTCCCAGCTACAGATATGGAGATGAACCCAGTGATTTTTTTTTTTTTTTTTAATTGTGATTTGGGTGAAAGTTTACAGAGCAAAATCACTTTCCATAATGCACCTCACATACACGTTGTCTCATAACATTGACTGCAGTTTCCCACAATGCAACAGGTCCCCTCCCAGTTCTTCCCCATAATTATTACCTCTTCTCTGTGTCCTGCCCCCCTGAGCTGTCTCCCTGTGCATCCACAACCCTTCTATTCTCCCATGATTGGTCCCTCCAAGGAGTGTAACTGTTGTTGTTGTTGTTGTGTTGTTATGTGCCGTCGAGTCAGACCCGACTCATAGCGACCCCTCCTTGGGTTTCTGAGGCAGTATCACTACAGAAGTAGGATTGCCCA